TCAAATAATTCTTCAAGGTCAAAGCAATGGTACCATCTTATGGTCCCCTCGAAACCAAACAACTTTTGTCTGAAAAATTTTTCTCTCCCGTGCTTGGTTTTCGACATATTCGACTGGATGGATTAAAATGGTCCACCCTGTATATACTTATTTTTAATTATTTTCTATACGGAATATAATATCTACTAGATATCTAAAAAGAATTTTAACAAAGTTATGAAAGGAAAAGGAAAGGAGAAAGAATGTTGAGACAAAAGGAAATGTAAATCTGTAAGAATAGGAAAAAGAAAGGAAAGGGTAAAAATAGGAAAAAAGAGATAAAAATAAGAATAAGTAAGACTGGGTAATACTTGTAAAAAGAGAAGGATGACGGATACCAAATAAGAGGTGCAATGTATGATGTATAAGGTAAAATGTAAAATGTAATATAAAATATAAAAGGCAATGTAAATAGGTTATAGAAAGATATGTAATACAGTAAAACTTAAAATATTTATAAAATCGTATGGGTAGAAGATTAAGTGTAAAAATAAAAGATAAAAGTTTTAAAGCTAAATATATGAAGAAAAAAAGTAAATCAAAGATATAGGATAAGATAGTAATTATTATAAGATTTATAGGATATATTATAAGATATATTATAATATTATAAGGTAGTAATAACTGTAAGAAGTAGATGTGCCGAAGAAAGAGAGGTAGAAGAAATTGTAAACCTACTTCTTTCCTGGCATTGTAAGTAAAGAAATATATATATCGTTACCTTCAACTTCAGATGATCGGTCACTATCTGTGTCATACTTTGGATTTTTTTTTGAATTCTCTTTTCTGGTACTTCATGACTTTTGTATTGTTCGTACAACACTTCGTCTTGTGACGAATACCCTGTACATTGCTTTTCAAAATTGATGCTGCTTTCATAATTGTCTATAAGAAAGTATAAAAAGGAATATATACAATAATTTATAAGAAATCATGACAGAATGTAGATATTATGTTAATAAAATTAACAAATTATTAATGTTAAACTTTTGCATCTTTACTCACCGAATGGTCTGAAGAAACATGTAGAATTGAGTTTTCTCCAATCTGGCTTGCACAGTATTTGTTTCTTTATCCATTTGGAGGCAACGGATTTCTTTTCATATGGCCAACAAATAATTTTGTGACTTTTATCCACCCATATTTCTGGTACTGTTTGAAACCATATGTCGGCATGAACAACATAAAACA